ACACGGGTGACGACCGTCACACATTGTGACGACCGTCATGCAGGCAAAAACGCCCCACTTCAAATGCACGTGAAAGAAGCAGTTCCAAGTCCCAAATAGTGGACCACTACTCCCTGATAATTTTGCCTCAAAGTCCACCTTCTTCAAGTTATAACCGTTAGAATTCCATTTCTATAAAAGGGAAAGAAGGGGAACTCAGAAAGGGAGCCACATTCAGACAATGAAGTGCTGCCAATTTATCTTCAGAGCAACCTCTCCAGTTTTTAATATTCTTATTTGTTTCTCTTTCCTTTTTCTGCATTCCTTTCATTCCTTCTGTAATTCTTATTTTCGTTGTACGATCAATTGGCACAAAGATCAAAATCTTGCCAACATTTGTGGAGGATCTGCCCAAAGGTCAATTGGAATATCTACAGGTTTCTCATTTTAATCGTAATCCAGTTTTATTATGATGCATGCTATTATTTATCGTTTTCATTTATGTTTTACCTTTCCCAAATCCATGTCTGGCTAAATTAAAGTAATCGATATGTAATAATAATTCGGAAGGGATTTGATAATAACCGGTTGAAAATTGTCTTTTTCAAAAGTTGTTTATGGTCTGAGTGTTTAAATTAATTTACTGAATAAACTTCGTCGCGAAAGCGAGAACTTATTTAAAAGTAGTTTTACCACGAAAGTGGGAAATTAATTAAGGTACGAACCAACAAGCGAAAGCTGCGGCAAGACCAGATAGTAAACACTAGTCATTCATTTTAATAACAGCGAAAGCACTTTAAAATGAATTAGAATTTAGAGATTTACAAAAAATAATTTTAACCCCGAATGGGACACGAAAGCGTACGTTTGACCCTTAGAATTATGATTAGCGTCAATAACCATCGTGAGGTGAGAGTCTTCAGATCACCATTTTCTGCTTAAATAAACTCTGAAAAATATTTCGTATACCGGTAACTTGTTAAATCCCCGAAGATCATAATTACTGCATATCGATTCACTTAATTATAATTTAATTAACATTCTTAGTTCCCTTTAGTGACAATCTTATTCCCTTAAACATTATCTACCTAGCTAAACATAGTAACTCCCGAGAACACTAGTTTGATTACGAGTCCCTGTGGGATCGATATCTATTATTACTACGCGATAGACTGTGCACTTGCAGTTAGGTTGTATTAGACATAGAAAGTCGCGATCAATATATATTGTGATAGCTCATTCTGCACAAAAAAAAGAAGTACACAAAAAAAACACTGATTTGGTTCTCATCATCTTCATCCTCTTTCTTGCATTTTCTCAACAACTACACATAATCATTTTTGTTGTGCATTGTGCATCATCAAAGTGATAATATCCAAACTTAGGATCGGTGTATCGGGTTTCGGTTGAGAAATCAGTGGGTTTTTCTTGAATAAAACATTTAGGGTTTTGCCCTCCAAGAATCTTGGATTTGCGGGTTTTGCACAAATTGTTCCTTCACAGATTCAGCCAAGCGAAGGTAATTGAAGAACGGGAGGTTCTGTCAATTTAGTAGCGTTAACTGGAGGATTGTGGAAGGAAGGTTTGGGTTCGAATTGTTGGTGTTTGAAATCAGTCGGGCAAGATTTAAAGACCAGAGGGTTGTTCAAAGGTGGTGACGTAATCGGAGGTTTACTCATAACATTTGAAGGACTTGATTCATCTTGAATCAAGGGAAGAGAAGGCATAGGCTCAACATCAACGTTTGGGATTGAGTGTTTGAATTCTATTGCTTCTCTTGTAAAAACAATTTGCAACAGGTTATATATACAGGTCTCAATTCTATTTTTAGAATTGAGGGTACACATACCCTGAGCGAGGATGACAGGGGAACTACCTCAACAAATTGGTGTTCTCTCTTTTTACTCTTTTCATTGCTGAATTTTGAGTTTGTGTGCAAACATATTAGTTGACTAAAATTCTGGTGTGTGTTAGTGCTGAAACATTTTTAGAAACCTCATTACAATCCGTTTGATTGTAATCGAAAAAGCATAGCACTTCATTCACTTATTGAATTTTACTTGAGGTGCTTCACACACCAAGTGTCCGACTAATTGCGTGAATACAAACACTTGAGCTGTTTTTAAATTTGGTTTATATTTCATTCGCATTGGAAATTGTCCAACTTTGAGTGAACATAATCTTATTGATTCGTGTTTAAACTATTGATTATAATTTTCGTCTTTATCGGTACTCCATATAGGTGTAGCGTATATCCGATCTTTTTGGTAACAGTTCATTTAGACGATTATAGTTCCTCGGCCGCTTCCGCTTAAAAAATTTAAAATTCAAATTATATTAAGCGCCAACTCTGTTTTAAATAAGTGATCTATTCAACCCCCCTTCTAGATCATTATCGTCGTCTAACAACGAGCACACTATTCTGGACAAGGAATCAAGTCATTACAACCCAAAACCAAGTGGAAGGATTACCGCATATCGCGTCAATAGATTAACAAGATATTATAATCTCCCTACTATATGAAGGGAGAACACGCCATTTATCAAGTAATTTAAATTCAAATCTCACTCGCTTTATTTTACTGTCATACTGACTTGGGTGTTGTAGTGCTAAGCTTGCAGGTTAACTTTTTCTCCACTGTATCAAAAACTCAAGTCCACCATTACAATCCACATCAACTATTCTCTGATAAATTTTAGTTATAGTTATTGCTTGGGGTATCGATAGAAGTCCGGTCTGAGAAGATAAAAACACCTTAGCTAATTGACTTAATATCTCTTCAACCGAGCCATACATTATTATGCCTAAGAACTTAGGCTAACTAAACTTCCGTCTGGGGGACATAATATCTCCTTAGTCGGGCTATACATTATTTTGCCTAGATAACTTAGGATAACTAAGCTTTTGCCTGAGGGACTTAGTGTCCCTTCGAGCGAGATCATTTCCAACAAATCATGCCTAAGTGGCACAATCCATATCTGGCCCCGGAGACTGGATCGCCAATATTACTTGAGGGCTCGATAGAAGTCCCACCTTAGAAGTTAAGCTTCTCATCTGAGGGACTCAGTCTCTCATCAACCGGGCTATACATTATTATGCCCAGATAACTCATGCTTAAGCAAACACCCTTCTTGGTGAACTTAGAGTTTCCTCGGGCATGATATAATATAAAAACTCGCCTAAGGGACTCAACTATATACTCTCTGGCTAAGGGAATTACAGTTTCCCAGCGGGATCAAGACATATGAAGTTTGCCCAAGAGGCACGAACGGTGTCTTGTCTAAGAGACTTGATCGAAATTCATTCCAGAGGGATCGATAGATGTCCCACCTGAGAGGTAAGTGCTTTGACTAAAGGACTTATAGTTTTATTATCCAGTCACTCTATATAACTCAGCCTGAGGGACTAAGAGTACCCTTGAACACGTGAAATAAACACCCTACCTGTGTGACTTAGAGTTTCCTTTTGCGGGATCCAATATAAATTCTCACCTAATAGAATCGACTATAAACTCTCTGCTTGAGTGACTTAGACTTTCCCTATCCAGGATTAAGACATATGAAATTCGCCAAAGTGGTGTGATAGAAGTCTTGCCAAAGATACTTGATGACAAGTCTTGCCTGAAGGCTCGATGGAAGTCCCTCATGAGAGGTTAATGCCTTGTCTGAAGGACTTATAATATTATCAGTCAGGCTCTCTATATAACTCATATTGAGGGACTAAGATTCTCCTTGGCCAAGCTTAAATAAACACCCTTCCAGAGGGACTTAGAGTTTCCTCGGACGAGATCCAATATAAAGTCTCACCTTAGGGAGTCGACTATAAAGTCTCGCGTGAGGAACTATAAAGTCTTGCCTGAGGGATACATTGTAAACCTTTATTAAGGAAAAACCCACATAGGATAGATCCATTCAAGATCCTTAAGAATATGCACACTCTTACCAAACCACTTTGCGCTTTTCAAGCCCTCGTACTTGAGGGACTATTTAGTGTTATAATTTTATTGTGCCTCAAGAGGGGACAACTTAAGCAAAGGCAAAGAAGCGACGTGGTCGCCCAAAAGGGGAAGCGAGGCCGCCAAGAGCGGGCTCCCACATCCATTAAATGTGAGTGATAACGTGGGCCCACAATAACTAAGGGTCATTCAAAGGGAGAAATGACTCTTTCCACAATCTAAGGAGACTAAGTCCTCTCATGACCATATTCCTTGGTCACTAAGGTAGGGTAAACCATTGTCTAGATCTCTAGTCCAGACCCAAAAGGCCTTTATACACATTTCTCCTCTAGCAGGATAAAATGAGACATATTCTAAGTCATACACACGTTTCACACTTAAATGAGCACCACGCTCGTTACCACGACTAACCTAATTGTCCACTTGTAATCTAAGTAGCGCCGACCACTAATAGGGTCTCTACTTCATGTGAGTTGGTCCCTCAGATATCCTCAGAGACCGCCCTATTGGGCTTCTCCCCGCTGTGAACAAGCACTCGCAATCAAAACGTGTTATACACCTACTACGACCTCTGAGTCTTCCTACCCTTGCATGAAAAACACACACACCTCTACTTTTTACTCGATACATATTTCAAAAAAATTTATTTTATTTTATTTTAGAGAATTTGAGAGTGCTTTGCTTTGGTTTATAATAATGACAAGAAGTTTCTTTGAATTGATCGGTGTTGTTTTTTAGGATTTTGTTTTTTTTTTCCGAATAATTTTAATCTCTTTTTGTTATAATTGGGTTGGAATAACCTTGTGTTTATCTTTTTTAAAAAATATTTTAGAAAAATCCAAATTTAAATTTTAAACCAAGTATTATTTTACTAAACTTTACATAGCCAAAATTCGAATTATATAAGATATATTTAGGTTAACAAAAGAAGAAGAAAGAATGAATATAGGTAACACTTCATAAATAAGAAAAGAGTCCACAACTACAAACATACATGCGCGCGCATAGATCACATTGTCCCGTAAATCTAACGGCAAAATTCAAAAACCAAAACATTGTAGACACATGCTGATCTCAAAGCACCCAATTTTCAAAAACACAAACCTTAACCCCCCCAAACCCTCACCATTATCATTACTCCTTTCCCTCCTTAAACAATGTCCCTCCACAAAAACCCTCCAACAAATCCACACCCAAATGATAATCCACTCCATTCACAAACCAAATCACCTTCTATCTCAATCCATAAACCTCAAAGACTTCAACTATTCCTCCCTCATTTTCTCCCACATTACTCCTCACCCAAACGACTATGCTTTCAACATCATGCTCCGTGCCACCACCACCACATGGAACAATTACCCTCTTACTCTTAATCTTTACCACCAAATGAAAAACTTAAACCTTACTCCTAATAACTTCACTTTCCCTTTTGTTTTTCTCGCTTGTGCGAATCTCGGAGCCATCCGTGAAGCCCGATCGGCTCATTCATTAGTGATTAAACTTGGGCTGGATACGGACCTGCATACGGCTCACTCGTTGATCACGGTGTATTTTAGGTGTGGGGAATTTGGGTTCGCACGTCAGGTGTTTGATGAAATATCTCACAAGGATTTGGTGTCGTGGAATTCGTTGATTTCTGGGTATTCGAAGATGGGTCGTGCGAGGGAAGCTGTTGAGGTGTTTGGACGGTTGAGGGAGGAATCTGGGTTTGAGCCGGATGAGATGAGTTTGGTTAGTGTTCTTGGGGCTTGTGGTGAATTGGGGGATTTGGAATTGGGGAGGTGGGTGGAAGGGTTTGTTGTTGAATGTGGCATGAAGGTTAATTCGTATATTGGTTCTGCTTTGATTAGTATGTATGCTAAATGTGGTGATTTGGTGTCAGCTAGAAGGATCTTTGATGGTATGCCAATCAGAGATGTTATCACGTGGAATGCAGTTATATCAGGGTGAGAATGTATATTGTTGTGAATAAATAGTTAAAGTGATTTCTGAAAGATATAGTGGTTTTAACTAATGCTCACGATTTATTCATACATTACAGATATGCTCAAAATGGAATGGCAGATGAAGCAATCTCTTTCTTTCATTGTATGAAGGAGAGTGGTGTTAATCTAAATAAAGTTACCCTGACTGCAGTGCTGTCTGCGTGTGCCGGTATTGGGGCTCTAGATTTAGGGAAACACATCGATGAATATGCAACGCAAAGAGGATTTCAACATGATATATTTGTAGCAACTGCATTGGTCGATATGTATGCTAAGTGTGGAAGTTTGGAGAGTGCACAGAGAGTTTTCAACGACATGCCCCGAAAAAATGATGCTTCTTGGAATGCAATGATTGCTGCTCTTGCTTCTCATGGTAAAGCCAAGGAAGCTCTATCACTTTTCCGGCGCATGTCAGATGAGGGTGATGGTGCCCGCCCCAATGATATAACATTTGTAGCGTTGCTTTCTGCTTGTGTTCATGCAGGCTTGGTTGATGAAGGACATAGGTTGTTTGATATGATGAGTACATTGTTCGGATTGGTACCAAAAGTCGAGCACTACTCTTGTATGGTTGATCTTTTGGCACGTGCCGGTCATTTATACGAAGCTTGGGATCTCATTGAGAAAATGCCAGAAAAACCAGATAAGATTACATTAGGTGCCTTACACGGTGCCTGTCGAAGAAAGAAAAATGTAGATATTGCGGAACAAGTTATGCATATGCTTCTGGAGTTGGATCCTTCAAATTCTGGAAACTATATCATCTCGTCAAAAATATATGCAAATTCAAACATGTGGGATGAATCAGCAAGGATGAGAGCATTGATGAAAGAGAAAGGTGTCACTAAAACACCTGGTTGTAGCTGGATTGAAATTGATAAACAATTGCGTGAATTTCGTGCTGGTGACAACTTATGCCTCGACTCTATAGACATATGTAACATAATTGATTTGCTCTATGAAGAGCTCAGAAAGGAAGGTTATGTCCCAAATATTGTTGAATAATCATTTTGAGGGGCTGAAGAGTTGTTTTATTGGACATTGCCGAAGTGGCAAAATTTGGACTCTCTGTCACTTAACACCAACACCTTGAATTAAAGATGTGTCGAGTGTCCAACACTAACATGACATATGTGGTTACACTCAATCACTTATATTTGTGAACTTATTAAAAGTGTCTACATGTCAGTGTTGTGTGTGTTTCGTTTCTCATTGGTTGAGCCTCTCTAGCTTTTAGACAAGCTATCCTTTAGATACTTCCTTAATCCTTTGGAAAATCTGTTCAGAGAAGGAGCTTTTCATCTTGTTGATATGGGCAAATTCTCCAGAAGAATAAGAATTTTGGGTTTGAGATAAATAGATGTTGGCTATGGGATGGGTTCCAGCAATTGATCTTGCTTTGAGGGAAGCAAATTTAGCTTCTTTATGTATTCTATCATTATCAACCAAGACGCATAATAGTGCTTGAAAATTTTGCTACTCAACAATTAAATTCTTTTTTCACCAATGAAGATTTAGATAGGTGATAGGTCAATATACTACAGCAGCAAGAATTATTTAAGATACGATGAAATAAATTTTCCTTGGCCATTATGCAGATTCATCAAAGAAATATGATATATTAAAAAGTCGATTTGCTAAAATGACAGTAGTGTAAGAAAGTACCAGTACCTTATATTTTCTCATTTTGTTCTTATTTGTTTTCTACTTTAATTTTTATCTATGTTGTGACAAAATTCTTCTAAGTCACTAGACTTCATATCATATTATACTCCCTCTTCTTTTTGTGAGATGGTTGGGTTTTCATTCTAAATGGCATTAGGAGTAGTACCTTTTATTATGTAGCCTTATTTATTTGAGGATTTAACCTGACACCTCCCATTTATTTATGTTTCACATTTCATAATTATGACAAAATTATCTCGTTGTTTTTTAAAAAATTTTAAATTTTTTAAAATTTACGGTGATATATTAAAAATTTTATGAAAATACCAGAAATTTCAAAAAATATATCGTGATGCAACGTTAATGTGAGACACATCATAAATTATGAATTTTCCGATAGCCAATAACAAAAATTTCAAAATTTTTAGTGAAGTTATATCGAAAATATGATAATTATGTAAAATGGCCAAAATTTCTGGAAATTTGAAATTTTCGATATGCAACCAATACTTTAAAAAAATTAATAATTTTAATATTTTGGACACCTCGGTCTACATAAATGATTTCACATATAATAAATACATAATGTCCACAAGATTACATGGCAAATTAGGATGACTTCCTAAATTCATCTTCTCAGTGCCTAATCCGTCCTGCATATGTTGATTCCCATTCTTTCGCATCTTCAGTGCAATTCTGTCTCCAACGGTCACTGACGAGAGGCAATGGACTATTAGGTTTAAAATTTACCTGAACCCAATGATTACCGTTGAAAAAAATCAACAACAATAATTTTATGTCTGCTCGTATACATAGGTGGAGCTATGGTAAGAGGGAAAAATGTAATGTTAAGTCTTTGTGACCAGGAGACAAATATGACAATGTACCTACATGCAATAGGGTAATTCATATCAGGAATCGATATCAATTTTCCTCAACCCTGCACACCTAAGTGTTCCACTTTTAAAGAATTCCTAACTTCAGAGATCGTGTAATAGAAAAAATTGGAAAGCTGTTTTGGTTGTTGATGAGCTTGAATATCTAACTGCGTCCAGACTAATGACCATGACTCTTCTCCCCATCCGAGTAAAGATGCAATAGTCCGAAAAACATAATTTTCATCATCACCCACATCAACAATGTCATCAATATATGGATGCAAGAAACTAGGAAAATGAGACAAATAAAGATGCCTCGAAGATGCAGTGGATGGTTGACTTTGACCAGACATACTTGAAGGTTGACTTCCTGTTGGTTTCGTGCATGATCTCTTTGTAGTCTGACTCCCCTGCGAGCCCTCACCATACTCCCATTGTGAGGGATCATGATGCACATCACTTTCTTCACCCTTTCTGCTCTTCTTAACTCCTCTCTTTGCCTTGTACTTCACTGGAGTTTGACACATAAAAGTTGTGGATGCATGGATGTGTTAGTTCCTGAACCTTTTTCCTCAACACCCTTTGGCCTACAATATCCAAAGAATTGAAATATTTCTTCAACTCTTCACACTCTGCTTCTAAATCCAGCTTTGTGCCGCTATTTTCATGACCGCTAGCATGCTCTTGAATGTGTAATTTCTTTCAAAACACATTAATGAGTTCTAAAGGAACATGCAAGCCTTATATTTCGAAACCAACAAGCTGACACGCACACGGTAACCCATGTGTAGTTCTAATGAAGCAACCATAAATATCCTTGCTTGTACCAACAAATTTTACCCTTTCTAGCTCTTTCTCTATGTGTTGTATAGAATGCCTTGAAACAAAATCATGCAAGTTGTCATAGAATGGAGTGTTATACCGATGCTCAATGTTAACAATACTTTTTTGAAATGACACCTTGATTGAACCTAGCTGCAACTTTAGCATGATTTTCACAGCATCCCAACTTTGGAATAAATCTCTCCGGCTTGTAGTCAACATGTTTTTCAGTCTCCAATGACTAGTCTCCACCCTAAATCACAATAATTAAACCATAATGAGCCAACATGATAAATTATGTTTAGTAATAACATCGAAAAGAAGTTTGTGTACCTGTTCATTGTTGTTTTTCCTAAATGAGTGACTCTGTTAGTCTAAGCAGCCACAAACCTGTCTTTATAAGGTGTCAACCATGTTTCAATCACATACTTATAAAACAAAGGAATATCAACACAAACAGTCTTAAAATGCTTCAAGTGTTCCAAATACTCAGTTTCTCTATTAGCATTCATGATGTTATTCCATAGATCCATGACATGTTCATGTCTTTTTGATTTAACATACTTCTTATGTTTCATGCTAACGTTTTTTGTAATATGGAACGAACATAACAAATGTGTTGAATTTGGAAACACAACTTCAATTGAATTCATCAATGCAAGTTCTCGACCCGTCACAACAATATTCGGTAGCAATTTCCCATAAGAGAACAATTCTTTGAGATTCTCCAGTGCCCATGTGAAGTTCTCCTCCCTTTCATGTTCCAAATTGGAAAACCCTACCGAAAACGTCAACTTTGTTGACGTAACACCAACAATCTCAAGCATTGGTAACCGGTACCTGTATGTTCATGATTCAAATAGTAAAAAATCTGGTAAATCAAAGTATGTCGAAATGATATCAAGGTATGATCAAGATGCACATTACCTATTTGTCTTGTATGTACAATAAAAAATCAACACCAAGTGAAATTTTTTTAACAACTTTACTGAATCAGGATGTGTCCAAAAGATATCAGCAATAACATTTGAGTCTTTCATATTTCTTGTCCACCACATATATTTTTCTCTATGAATAAGAGTTAACAACATTTGCATTTCCGTCAATGTACCTCTCTTGCTCGCATTGTATGTAGCTCTAGCTTTATACACTTGGATAACACTGGTGAAGTTTTCTAGATCTTTGTCTTTCAAGGCAGAAACTATATATCGTGAAGCCATGTTGTACTTCGTCATGTCATTCAAAAACTGTCTCTCGTGATCTTTTAGATGACCCAATATGTCATGACCATCTAAATCTTCAGATAGTTTATTATTGTGAAACCCACACTTAACCATCATCTTCCAACCAATACCACTCGGCTAAGATCTCAGCCTAAAAGGACATCTCACTTTCATACTATAAATGTCATATGAAGATTTACTGCTTTTAGATGTGTTTTTCCTTTTATAATTTCCTCCTCCCTTACAATCCATAATCAAATTATCTTTCCTACCTCGCTGGCCATTTGCAGTATCAGAATGAACAGTCACAACTATAATACCATGTTGCTTGCCAATATGCTGTCCCCATGCTCGACTCTCAAATATTTGTCGTTTACATCACATAAAAAGTATATTATCAATATCATATAAGGCCACAAAAATATTAAATTTAAACTTGTTACATAGAATACATACTTTATCTGTGGTGAAGAACTACGTATAATCGCTACACGAATCTGTAGATGACCATGTCGACTCCGGACTGCACAAAGAAAGCATTTTTCTACTTACCGGCCTGTTACCGAAAATTCCAATTACAGGAAAAATTTCAGGTATACCGGAAATTTCCAAATTTTCGAATGTTTTAATTGGTTACTAGAAATTTTAAAAATTTCTAGCATTGTAACAGAAAGTTTGTGTAAGTTACCGAATATTTCCAAATTTTCGGTATTCTGTACCGGATTTTTACAAATTTCCTATATATACGCATGAATTTTCAAATTTTGGGCAAAAATATGTATTGAAAACTTCAAACGTAGTACCAGAAATTTTGAACTCTGAGGTAGAAAAAAATGAAAATTTTTAGAAAAAAAAGTAAATGAAATATTAGCAAGAGTATTTTGGGAATATTAAAAAATATATTTTTTTTTGGGGGGGGGGGGGGGGGGGGGGGGGAGTTGCCAACTATAAAATTGGGGGTAGCAGGTTAAATTCTTTATTTATTTTGACAGATTATGCACATAATGGTTTCATCTCCATACGTTTTTCTTTTATATCTCGTGCCAGATCCTTCCCTCTTCTTCCTTCTTCATTTTCTAAAAAATTCAAAAAAAAATATTTGACCTCTCACAACCATTGAAACATCTCATCCTTTCATTTAAGCTTATATCCGTAGAGCTCTTTCTCCTCCTTTCGAGCATCTCATAACATTCAAGTTTCTCATTCTCATCAATCAATTTCATTTTGTAATTTTTCAAATTTTGTTTTCTTTTTATGTTTCAACTTGTAGTTAGTTTTTTAGAATACATTAGTTGTTTTAGGTACATTAGGTAGTAGCGTAAATGAAATTGGTAGGCTAGAAGAACATGCATTGAAGTTTTTTTGGGATTGTTAGGAAAGAAAATGAGATGCGGAAGTTTTTTGGGATTGATGGACA